CTGCTGGGCTTCCCGTTGCTGCACCTCTGAAATCAGGTCCATGGTGTCTGCAATTTTCAACTTGGAAAGACAAAGAAGAGCAGACTTTCCACAGCCTAATTTTTATGATCCCATGTCTGATTTGTGTGTACAATTATCACTGCTGGGTGCCCATCACAGTACTGGCACATATAAGTTAAGTACAGAATTGTTCACTTACTGCTGCAGGGAGCTAGGAGCTTTTGTCAAATGGAAAATCAGGTGCTCAGGTCTTCAATTCTAGGAAACAGATATGGTGTAGACCAGGGTCATTCAGAATCTAACCCCGTAGGTTTAGTCAGCTCCAAGGCATTGCATACATCCAAGATCTCCGGCTTTGTCCATCTAAGTTGAATTGTTTTTCTTTGCAGAGACCAGATGTATTTTTAACTCCATCCAATACCGGCACCCTTCCTAGCCTGAATTCCTCAGTCTTGGAGAAGCTTGGGAACATCAAGGAGCCCTGGATGCAAGCTTCCCTGATGCAACTGGAAGAGGTAGGAATTTCTCTCTACTGGTTACTGTACAGGAATCTGGATACCAAAGACATTGCACTGGTGTTTTATTGGCCAAAAAGGTCTTCTCAGATATGGTTTGAGTTTGGATGCAGAGAGGTCTGAACTTCTGGCCCACTAAGGAGATCATAAAATGACTGATTTCTCTTCCCTACAGATCCAGTTGGAAGTTAATTGCCTCCCTTTCCTTTTTCTGTCTAAAGTATAAATGACTTCCACACCAGTGAAAGCACAAGTAGCTATAGTTTGCACTGACATAATCCCCCTTTTCATGGGATCTCACGGCATTTTAAAAAGGTGGAGAAATAGCCTTATCCCTAATCTGGAGGTAGGGAAACCTGAGGGCTCCTATACACATGCAGGGATCTGGCTACAATGTGCTGGAAATCCAAAACATTGGAGAAGATTCAATTAATTGAGTCTGCTGGAGTGCAGAAATTAATGCGCTCCAGCAGAATCTAGTGTCACATGTATTGGTGTCACCACGCTGAAAAATGGCAGCAGAGCACTTTGAACTAAAGTTCGTTCTACAAGCTTTAATTCAGAGCGCCCTGCTGCCATTTTTGTGCACAGGGGATGCTGATACATGTGATGCTCAGGGGCTTTTAATTAGTGTGGCTTGCTAATTAAAGCACCACCCCCATACCTTCCGGAACATGTGTAAAAATGCCCTGAGATGCTGGCACTTGACCCATGGCCATGCAATAGCAGACTTGGGAGTAGACCACTGGTCTCTGGGCTCCAAATCCCATGTGCTACATCCATTGGAGAATAGTGCTTCTTCCTCTGTAGCACCCTGTACCTGTGACATTGAATCTCAGTGTTTTCCACTGAGCAGGGTCTTGTTTGCTTTGTTCTCTAGCTGAAGGACCTTCCTTTCTGGGCCATAATGGTTAGTTATGATGTTTCTTGGCTCTTAGTGCTGGTCACCACCAGAGGCAGAATACTACATAAAATGGGCCTTGGGTCTGAGCCAACTGGGAAGTTTGCATTCTTTGGAGGGACAAATGTTTCCTCGTAATCAGGTTTGATCCACTTGGAGCCATTAGGTATGTGTGATTTTTCCCAGATCTAGCCCAGGATGAATCAGGGAGTTGCTCTGGGAACCCATAAGATGTATGGGAATAGGATGCCCAGCTACCAGAGTGTTGCTGGCTTCCATGTGTCAGCCTGTGTAGGAGCAGAATGGCCCAGGTGCCACCATGGAGAGACATGGCACAGGAAAGAGGGGGAGGGAGTCATCCAGAAAGTACAATGTGCCTAGTTGGTTGGGTGCAGATGGAACCCAGTGAAATCCTGGGCACTTGATGTCGTCATAACATGAAAGCTCTGGCAAAGGGTGAAGCTCCAGCCATGACTGGGCATTGAAGCTTTATTTTATCATAATCTTGTGTGACCTAGGGCAAACCACTTAGCCTCTCCATTCCTCAGTTTACCTTCTGTACAGTGAGGATAATACCACTGTCCTCCCTCAAGCGGGTTTTGGAAGTATAAATATGTTATATACAGTGGGGAACTCAAGTCCAGCAGCGATGGAGTCCATGATAGGAAGATCTCGGAGCCTTGTGGTTCTGAGACTCAAGGATAAAGTTTCTCCTCGTGTCCAAGGGGACTGGGTGGAAGAAGGATACTCTCAGTAGCTTGTGTTGTAGTAAACAACAAGGACTGAGAGATGCAAATTCGCTCCTTGAGCTGGCGTTCTCTCAGGTGATGAAGGCACTACTAAAACTGTGTGGTCCTTCCATGGAGAGAGAAAAAGGGAATCCAGCTTATTTCACTCCTTGGCCAACCAGTTGCACCTCAGCAATCAAGAAGTTCCCGTCCAGCCTTCCCCCATGGGTTGGCATCTGCAATACATGGGATTGGTGGGGGCAAGGCAGTACATCAACAGGTATTGTACCAGCCCATATACGCCCTCACTGTGATGAGGGAGAAGGACCATGAAAAGGTGGACCTTGAAACATTAGAAAATACAAGATATGTGTGAGCTTGCCTAGAGTCAGAAGGAACGTGAATGCCAGACCAACTGGCGATCAGTAGTTATCATTTGTGTTATGGTACCACCGGGAGGTCAGCACTTCCGCTGCTATACAAAATCAACAATGAGAAGATCCCCAGGGAACTTATGGTTGAAGATGATGGGCGACAAGCAGAGGTAACAAAGAGAGGGTAGAAGCCTAATATGAGATGTAAAACCAAAGTCCTGAGCTCTTGGGTCACCAAAAATCTCTAGGCACTTTTCAAAAGAGCTAGACTGTTAATGTCCTGGCGACATCCCCTCATGGGTCCAAACCTTTGATGCTGATTCAACGGTGTGCTCTGCTCTTCTTCACTTTCCATCCTAAATGCCTGTCCTGACAGACCTAAAAAGTTACCATGTTCCTCCCAAGAGGTGGCTGCCTTTCAGCATCAGGAGAAACATGATCTATAGGCAATCTGCAGAGCACTCCAGCTCCTAAGTATGGTGGAAAAGTTAGGATCATTGTTTTCTCCCACCATAGGAGCAGGTGTAGCAGAAGCAATGACTATGGCTGGGGACTGGGTGCAATGCTGAACAATACGCAAAGGTAGGGGTGATAGCTGTGCCTATCTGCAGGAGTGGGGCTGAGCGTGCAGTCCAGCATGGAAGTCTCAAGGGGCTGAGAATAGCACAACACATGCCATTGACTGCCAGAGTGGTGGCTGGGAGGCAGGGTGGGTGACCCAGAGATTATGAAGTAATCATCACTTGCAATAATTTATTCACTGCCCCCTGGACCTGGGACAAGGATTTATGCTGATGGTGCTTTGGAGCTGTGGTGACTGGTTGCTTCATCTCGCATGCCACCGCTTGTGCAGCACCCATCCTTTGGGCAGTGCCAAGCCCCCGCCCCATCAGCTTGGTTGTGGGGCAGGTCATAGAGAGTGATCGCACTGACTGCCTTGAGTGCCAGAAGCCCACAGGCAAGTTTAGAGCCCTTAAATAACCCTGGTGTAGGTATAAAACTCTATCCATGTTATGCCCCTAATTCGGCCCTACCTAGGGCATTTGCCATCACCTCCTCCACTGCACAACAAGCCTGTTGGACAAAGAGCTCTGCAGCTCAATAAATGAGGTGAGTTACAGGGGGTAAAATGGCCTCACAGAGCCCTCCACTGGGCCTGGTTTTTAAATATTCTCCAGCCCGTCAATAATCCATGGAGCTAAACTCTGCTTAAATGTTGAAGTGTCTGGGTGAGCTGTCAGGAGCTGTAGCTTGCTAACAAGGCCTTCCCTGCAGGGAAGAAAACAAGGACCTCAGCTCTTTATTTACCATTAGTTTGGGCATTTTTACACTGTGCATCACTAATACAGAGTTCCTGTGGGTAGGCAGCTTAGCCTGGGATCTGAGCTACGAGGTGTTAAAGGGTGTACTTGGTAGCTGTGTTGGTCTGAGACAAAAAGACATGCAAAAAACTAGAACTCTTGGTTCCAAAATGATACCTTTTATTAGACCAACTGGAAAATAGCAAGAAAATTGTCCTTTTCTGCAAGCTTTTGGGAATCAAAGTCCCTTCGTCAGGCTCTGGGAAAAGTGTAGATGGTACAAGATGGTAAAAAGTCCCCATAGGTCGGAAATAAACTTCATTTTTGCACAGAGGGAGCTGAAGATGGAAGTCTATCCCTCTGGGAAGTTTTTTTTTGCCTCCCTACCTACCATCTGACACCTCCAGGGAAGGAGTTTCTACCTGATCAACACATCAAAGAGCTACTCAACACAGCTCACAAAGACATTCTCATGGACCCAGAGGGACAGACTTCCATCTTCAGCTCCCTCTGTGCAAAAATGAAGTGTATTTCTGACCTATGGGGACTTTTTACCATCTTGTACCATCTACACTTTTCCCAGAGCCTGACAAAGGGACTTTGATTCCCAAAAGCTTGCAGAAAAGGACAATTTTCTTGCCATTTTCCAGTTGGTCTAATAAAAGGTATCGTTTTGGAACCAAGAGTTCTAATTTTTTGTATGACGAGGTGTTAAACACTTTCTGTCATGAAGTTGTTGGTGATGCGAACTAAGCACAATTTTCTGTGACACTCCTGGATCACAGGCACCACTGGACTTGGTTCAGCCCCAGATCCTTTTAGCCTGACCCCAGCAACAGCCAGGACCAGCCAGTTCATGGGTAGTTTTAAGACCTCACAGCAGGACATGTGGGATGATCTGACCCACACCTGCTGTAATAGATAGAGATGAGTTGAAGCTCTGAGGCAAGAGCTTCTCTAGTCCTTCAAAAAATGGCTTCACTCTTAATTATGATCACTCTGGTTGCTCTTACTACCTACCAGTATGGCCAATCTCTTTCTTGACTCCTGCTACTAGATGTGAGACTGAGTCCTTATGTAGTCCCAAAGACAACAAGACTCAAGAAGCCTCTCCCAACCAATCCAAATTGGCTCTATCAATCTACCATTACCACTACTCTGTGGTACATAGGGACAGGTTTACAGTGGTAGTTAGGGTTGGCCATCCTGAGCCATACTTCTCCACTTACTTTGTACATTTTAACCTATACCAAAGCTGTATGCGCTGTGCTTCTTATCTCTCAAGTGAGGCACTAAGATATCTCCCAGGTTTGCTTGGGAAGGAATTGGCCTGTGGACGCCTTACCTGTCTCTTCTTCTAGGCTCATGAGCAGTGAAAAGGGGAAGGGATGTGGAAGAGGTCAAAGTCAGGAACAGGGAATTGTGGGATTGCCACTGGTGGACTTGTGCTGAAGGTCAGCTGATTTCCAAAAACATTGGAGAAAGGCAAGGGGTAGGAGGCTAGTGACAGCTGGGTTGACCTCACACTTGCAAGCTCAGCAGAGCTTGCCCTCACTGAGAACAAGGCCCCATTATGCAAAGTGCTGCACACATGCATAGAGAGAGAGATTCCCTACCCCAAGGCCCTTGTAACCTAGCTATACAATGGGTGAGAGAAAGGAAATATTAAACCTTAGCATGAGAAGAACATATTAAT